AGTGGTGGTAATGGGTGTTGGGTCTGGTGGTGGTGGTGGGGGTGGCGTGGGACGATGATGATAATAATAACAAATATAAAAATTGATAATGGTGGAGACCAAAAAAATCACTCCATAGAGGTAGGGGTGCAACTCGAGCGGGTTGGACAGTCAACCTTAACCCAACCCTAATTATATAATCTTCAACCATAACCTTAACCCTATCTTGCGTTGAAAAACTCAACTCGAACACTACCCGAGTTTAATTCGGGTGGGCTCGGGTTGAATTTGAGTTTCTTAATTTTGGGTTAATTTCGAGTTAATGTTAGGTTCCAATCCAATCTTGATAAGCATATCAATCCATTTCCTCTAATTTAGCAACAACAACAAAAATTAGCAAGCATCAACGGCAACCAACTAGCACATCAGAATCATGAAAATATTGCAGAAAAAAAAAACAGAGAATAGGGGAGTTCTCCACTAGGCCAGCACCTCACCAAAGACAACACACATCTACTACAAACGAGTTCTAGTGTTTGTGCACAATGGAAAGCTAATCTTAGATCTTGAGTATATTGAAGAAACCACCACAGCCACTGCCCATCGCCGCCATCACTACTGTCACCATAACCATTGCTCATCGCCACCACACCCACCAGATTTGAGATTCTATAGCCACTAAGCCACCAGATCTAAGATGCCATAGCCACAAAGGTTTTGCGCAGATCAAGGCTGGTCTATGTTGTGGTCTTCGGCACAGATCAAGACTAAGAGGCTATGAAGTACGGATACTTCGTTGAGGTTGATGTATCCGTATCGGACACGATACTTGTCGAATAATCAAGGATATGTATCAGATACACCTTCTACGTATCCGATAATAATTAAATATTAGGATACTTCACGGATACTTTGTAGTAGAACAACATATATAATTTTTTAGTTGAACTTTTAACATCTTTTTTCGAATTCACATACGATATAATACATTAACAGAAATTTCATTTTACTTCAAAGGCACATGAGTGTTTTTTAAGTATTATCTACAATTTCATGTCCAAATACTATATAGTAAAGTTATTACATTTTAATCTTGACAAAAATTACTTCTAAATACTAGGTAAATGTTAGTTTTGATTCCTTTAATTAGTCATTTCACTTTGTGAATATACTACAACGACACGATATATATTTTCTTGAAACTAAAAAGAATTACTAATTTTCCTTATTATATGTTAAAGAACTACTAAAATATATAAGTGTTAAGTTGATTGAAAATAATAAAAATATTTTATTATAGCCTTATCCTGGCTGTACTTGTATCCTACTTTTTTAGATTTTGTCGTATCACCGTATCCGTATCGTATCGTACCTGTATTTCGTATCCGTATCCGTGCTTCATAGTTGAGAGGGAATGAGAGAGAAGCCGAGAGAGTGAGAGAAAGGTTGAGAGAGGCAAAGAGGCGCATGGAGAGGTAGAAAGCCAAAACCCTAATGGCTAATGTTCTATATATATGTATATATATATTTTTTTTAAAATTTGTCGGGTTCGGGTTCAACCCGTGAACCCGAGGGGTCAACCCAAGGCCCGTCCATATTGAATTCGGGTTGAAATTTTTAACTTAAGTCCAATCCAAGTATTAAAAATTCTTGTCCAAATTCTAATTTTGTCGGATTAAGCTCGAGTTGAAATCGGATTACCCAATCCAAATTGCATCCCTATGAAGTCTCGCCAAGTCAAATTAAAAATGGTGGGCAAAATAGATGCATTTTCTATCCCCTTTTCGTTTCTATTCAAATTTTCTTCTTCCACCAAGAAAAACATCATTTTCCATCCACCGAATTTTCAACTAACCAAACAGCCCTCTAATGTATGGAGGGTTCTCTTGTTCGAATCCGAACCATAGGGACGAAGACCAACTTTACGGCGAATTGAAGGAACAAATAGCCACGGGAACCAGCGGGCTCCATGTTTTTTTTGGGCAAATATTTAACAATTCTATACTAAACCTTTTACTTCCGATCTGAGAAAAAAAAAAGAGCTCTAGATCTAGCCCCTTTCCAGTCGATATTCATTGTTTCGGACGTAAAGTGCTCTGATCTGGTTTCTACGTAGTAGCATATTTCTGGTATTTTGTAATCTGAAGGATTATTCTTCGATAGTCTCGTCAGAAAGAGAGTGAGGGAGCAGTATAAGCCATCGCTTTACTTGATAGGAACGGCGTTGCCCTTTTCCGTCCTTTCCTGCATTGATTGCTTACTGACTCTAACACTTCAGATTTTTGGATTGATTGATCTGGAAAAGTAGTCTGCTTCTCTTTAATTGATTTTGAAGAGGGAAATAAAGAAAAGAAGAGCTGGATTCCGTGCAAGAGACGCCGTCATTGAAGCCTCCCGCTGCCGCCGCAGGAAACGGTCAGATCCGATACCGATCACCATCGGCCGCAGAACTCCTAGAAGGACAAGGGCAGTCTCCGCCAGCAGATCAACTGGACAAAATGTTGAAACGCACTAGGCAATACGAGTCCCTCTCCGACAAGATCCACAGGTACCGAGGCGTAATCTTGGTGATTTCAGTTCCTCTCCTCCTCATCTCGTTTGTGCTCTTTCTCATGCCAATCCGCTCGCCCTCTGACTCCATGAACTCCCGTAACCGCAAGTTTTCCCCCGACTACCTCGGAACCTCATCTTCATCTCGGAGCTACGCGGTCATCTTTGATGCCGGCAGTTCTGGCAGCAGGGTCCACGTTTTCTGCTTTGATGAGCACTTGGATCTTATTCCGATTGGCAAAGATCTTGAGCTTTTTTTGCAGGTAATTTACAATTTCTCTCTCCGTCATATGTGACTTTATGATTTTATTTTATGTTTCTTGAAATTTACTTGGACGTTTCATTCTCTCGTTGCACATTATTATGTAGTTAAAACCCGGTCTGAGTGCATATGCAAAAGACCCGAAGGCTGCTGCGAGTTCTTTACTATCCCTTCTGCAGAAAGCGGAAAGTACTGTTCCACGAGAGTTGCGTCACACCACTCCGGTCAGAGTTGGGGTCAGTGAAATTTGTTAGCCTGTAGCAGTTTTATGTGCTATGATCTCATTGAACTGATATTATTGCTTGAATCTTCTAGTGATATTTATGGTGTTCATGTTTACACAGGCAACTGCCGGTCTTCGGCAATTGGAAGGTGATGCGTCGGACAGAATTTTGCAAGCGGTACATCTTGCCTAATTTTACACTTTTAGGTGGTCGGGTGTGGAGGTCATTTTATCTCATACTTATATAAAGTGAATTTATAAAGGTGAGGGATTTTCTAAAGAATAAAAGCACTCTCAAATCCAAGGCTGATTGGGTGACTGTTCTGGATGGAACTCAGGAAGGTGCTTATCAATGGGTATGTTATCTCAAACTCACCATGTTTATGTGCTATTCAGTTAGGATTCGTTCATAAAATTATATTTTTTTATAAATTTTTTTTATTATATTTAATGTAATAATTATGATTTATAAAGTAATAAGCGAATCACACATCTATCAAAGATATATAATAATAACTAACCATTCAATCATTCATAATTCATACATTCTGCACAATAAACATGTAAATTGCATAATATCCAAAACCAAAATGTTTGCATACCCAAAGGAAAAAGATATCATGTTCATGCATAAACAAAAGAAACAATCCTATTATAAGTTAAGAAGCAACAAAATAGTTCCTTAGTTTCTCTGCAATATTCAAATTTCATTGTTTCATAGTTCCTATATAATGCACACACACAAAAAAACAGAAGAAACCTTGCAAAAAAGCCCTAATTCCAGACCCTAGTTCTAGGCTTAAGTTTCTGTGCAAACTCAATTGCAAAACAAACAGAAGAAACCTTGCAAAAAAGCCCTAATTGTAGCTGTGTATGTTGTAATGGAGTACATGCATTATTTATTTCACCATTTTCTTCTTTTTGGGAGTGGTGGTGGTGGTGGCGGTGTTTGGATATCTCATCTGAATATCCTTGGTTCTTTTCCTTGGCATCTATAATTTTAGAGTGGTGGTGACGCAGCGATAACAAGGATATGAAAAAATTGCTGTTTCTTTATGTATTGAAAACACACCCAACCTGAATCTATAGGAAGAAGAGAGAAAAGCTCTCTAAAATGTTATTGATAGAATTGATTGATGAAAATTTGTAGTTACATAGGAACACCCAAAACCCTAAATGTTTCCAAACAAAAACAAATCCCTAACCCTATGAAAGGTTACTAGAACATATAAAAGCACATGTTTTTAATAGTTTAGTAAAATTGACATGTTTTAAGCAATTAATTACTCTAGACAATTCCTAATAAAATTTTAATTATAACAAAATAATAAAATAAAGATAAAAATATAAAAATAGCCAATCTTGTACATTAGACTCTCCATGTTAAAGCAAATTTGTCCTTGAATTACTATTGATTAAAACAATTTGATACGCCTTCGTTTGTGTGCTTCCATTTTATACTTAAGGTTAATGTTTCCAAACACCCCTTCTGTGAATCTGCGATGCCTTCAAGAGCTTATAGAAAAATATTCCATTAGTCATCCTCCAACAATCTTAGCATGGCCTTAAAATTTTATAAGCAAACATATGATAAAGTCAACTAAATATTCACTTGACCTTAACTTGTTTCCAATTCAAGTGTGTGAAAATTATCAATGTCAAATTCTGTCTGACAACAAAACTTAACTTTGTTGACAAATCTACGGTGCACACTGATTCACTCATGATAAAAAAATTACTAAAAAAATTGTTCCAACCTGGAAACTCTGAATTATCAATATCAAATATTTGCTAAAAACATTAAAATCAAAACTATCTAGCAATTCAGAAATACTACTAACTTCATATAATTGACACATTTGTTCCTCTCCTTTTCTAACTATAAGATTCCCCCGTAAAACTTTATCGGCTATCTCATTATTATTTGTTTTCTTCATTGATTACATCAAACTCTGCTGTATCGAGTTTGAGTACAATGACTTTAGTTGCTGCATAGTCTCCAGTTGTATTCTCTTTATGATAACCTTCTGAAGGCTCCCCTACACCATCATAAGTCAATTTGTTCTCATCATTATCTTCAACATGTTTATTGTTGATGAACTTCAATTTCGTTCTTATTTGGACCAGCATAATTATTAAATATGAGAGTACTTGAATCTTTTTTTTCCCTATTAATTTTCTGATACCTCTAGGTGCTTGAAAAGTTCACATTATTGGGGTCTCAATATGATACTTGAGTCATAGAATAATCATTATATTTTAAAAAAGATTGCATCCAATTATTATCATGTTGAGGTTGCTTTCAATAACCACTTCATCTTCTCCCAATAACAAGCTTTAGATTTTTGTTAGCTTGCTTTGGATAATTTTACATGCTCATGATTAGAAACTATGTCCCACCAATTAGAAACTATGTCCTTCAGTTTGTATGCCAATAACCCCACCTCCAATCGGAGAATTACTCAATTTTGGCCAACCAATTTAAAAAATCTTCTTTGTGAACTTAACCATAAAAACTATGTAGGTTAATTTTCATGAGAACATTCTTCGACTCGGCCATTTCTTCTATAATCATAACTATCAAACATACCTGTAACATACTCTTAATCATTATCACTATAATGCATATCATAAATATGTTATTGTTTAGGTGACAAGATTGATATCTCGAATAGGTCAAACAGGAGCCCTATCGTTGTTGCGAACTTTATTTTGATGTGGATCTTGATTTATTGCACACGTCAACTAAGCAACCCAATTGTGAAAATCGTTGTTGCAAACTCTATTTTGATGTGGATCTTGATTTATTCCACACGTCGACTAAGCAACCCGATTGTGAAAATCACGATGGGCTTCCTGGGTCCCATGCCAAGAACTAAAGTACTCGGCTCTCAAAATAGCCCTTTTGACAGGATCATCGTCACGGAGAAAGTTGCACCACTTTAGTGACTAGCAATCATGACAGGTTACTTAAGACTCTGATATCAATTGATGCAATAGTAATAGGGACAAAAAAATTTCCGTTTATCTATGTATTATTGATACACAACCTAAATTCATAGGAAAAAGAAAGAAACTCTTTGGAGTATTATTGATCGGATTGAATTGATGATTGAAAACTCGTAGTATAGAGGGATAATTTATAAGAATACTCAAAACCCTAAACCTTTCCATTTTATAAGCAAATTCCTAATTCTACTCAACTCAACTAGATAAAGCCTTGCCCCAACGTTTTTGGGGTCGGATACATGAATCGTGTTTCTCCATTGAGCTTTATCAAGGACAAAGTTTTCAGTTAAATCATAAGTTATCATATATTTGTTTACTATTTTATTTAAAGTTAATTTTGGTCCTCCCAACGATTACTTTTAATAACTTTCATATTACTCTTTCTCACTGGTGTCGTAGTAGGCTTATAAATATGTCCAAACCACTGAAGTCGATTCTTCCTTAGCTTATCTCTTATATGTGCTACCGCTATTTTTTTTTCGATATATTCGTTCATAATTCTTTTTTTCTTAGTTTTATCGTACATCCATCTTAACATTCTCATTTCAGTTATACACAACTTTTGAACATATTGTTTCTTAGTTGCTCAATACTCAGTATTATAAAGCATAGCGGGTCTATGGACATTCTATAAAATTTTCTTTTTAGCTTTAGGTACGCCTATCACACAATACCAATGATCAAAATATCGTTTCGAAATGGTCAAAACGTTCGAAATATTTTCGTTTCCAAGGAGACCGAAACGAAACAGTGCTGGAATCGAAATTTTGATATTTTGAGGTGTTCTATAATGTTTCTAGATGTATTATAATATTTCAATGCATTTGCATAATTATTTTGGAATGTTTTAAGGGATTTCAAGATACTTTGATATAGTTTCATCAATGTTTTAGAAAAATAATTTTAAATTTTTTTATTTTTTTCATTATATTTTCGAAACGAATCGAAACGTTTCCAAAACACGTCGAAACGTTTCCGTTTCCTAGGTGACCGAAATAATACATCGAAACAATATTTTGGTCCTTGCACAATACACCGGATGCATTCTTCCATTTAGTCCATCCATCGTTAATTCTATGCATAACGTTGCTGTCAATCTCACACTCTCTATAACAATAGATCCTAAATATTTAAAGCGTTCACTCTTTGGTATCTCTTGATCTTCAATTTTTACTATTTCCTGGTTTCGATTTCTTCTTTTACTAAAGTTAAATTCCATATTCTCAGTTTTAGTCCTATTTATCCTAAATCCTTTTGATTTTAAGGTTTTTCACCAAATTGTTAGTTTATTAATAATTCATTCTTTATTTTTATCAACTAGTATAATATCATCCGCAAATAACATACACCATGAGAGCTCATCCTGAATGTGCCTATTCAATTCATGCACAATCAACGTGAAAAGATATGGACTTAAATCAAAACCTTGATGCAAACAAGCAGTAATTGGGAATTCCTTAGTCTTCCCGGCCGTTGTTGTAAGACCCTGTACTAAAATTAAATAAGAATACTAATATCTTAAGAGTTTTCCAAATATGAATAAAATGAGGATAAAAACTTAGAATCATTGTTGAAATATTAATCATGAAGTTTGAGTTTCGAACGGATTGACTTTTGGGTCAAACTTAATTTTTTTTTTGATGTGTTTAAGATTGATAAGAGTAACTAAATAAATATATTAATTTTTTTTTTTATCAAAATAACATTACCATTCGGGAGGTCGGAAAACATTGGGAGAGGTAATATGGGATGTATTAGAAGTTAGGAAGTATTTTAGAAGTAAAACCAAATTGGAGTGAAATTGGGTAAAAAGGGGTGATAGACACTGCTTAGTATTTTGATCATAACTTTATATTTTGATGTCCAATTGATCTGAAATTTTGACAGGAAATAGTAGACATCTAGGGCTACAAAAGTGTATTTTATGAAAAATTTCCAATTCGACCTCTAAATGGGTCAAAACTGACCTGGAAGTCGCACCAAAAATCTGTGAACAGTACGAAGGAAACCCGATTTTTTCTGAACAGAAAATATCGGGTTTTGCTCGATTTTCTTGCCCTATAAAAACCTAATGTCGTCCCTTTAGCATTCATTTCACCCCTCCAAAACCCTAGAAACCATTTTAGAGGAAGAGAGGAAGATAGAAATACCAATCAAGAGGGATTTATACCTTGTAGAAATCAAAACTTCAAATTCTTCAAGAATACATTCTCCTCCCATTTTCTTCCATTCTTGCTACCCTCTCACCCAAATCTTTTGAAAACCCTAGGAGGAGAAGATTAAGAGGAAAAGAAAGGAGAGCAAGAAGGTCTTGAAGCTTGGGTCTTAGCTTGGAATCTTGATTTAA